AAATTGATAATAATACTGTATACCAAATTTTATTTTAAAATATTAAATTAATGATTAGCAAAACAGGAAGTTAATAGATTTTTTTTAAAAAAAATAATAAACCTAAAGTTAATAGATATGTTATTCATCTAATCACTAAATATAAAATTAATAATAATATTTTATACAAATTTTTATTTTAAAATATTAAATTAATGAATAGCAAAACATGAAGTTAATAGATTTTTTTTTAAAATAATAAACCTAAAGTTAATAGATAGACTCATTAAATATGTTAATTCATCTAACCACTGCACAAGTCATTTTAAAAGTATCTAGGTTCCAGTTTTTTATTTAAACTCTATGAAAGCTAATATTAAATTTTGCTTTTAACTAAAAGTTTTCAGTAGTTGACTAGACTGTTTTCTGACAGAAAAAACAAAAGTCTGTCAAGCAGATATTTTTAAACAGGACGTTTAAAGTTACATAGAAATCTCCAACAAGCATAGAAAAATACCCAGTCAAGGCAGAATGAAAAACAAAAACATCAACTACCCAAACATCGGACCACATTCATAAGACAGGAATCTCCTACGTAAAATGGAAACAGATGCATGAAAGGTACCCCAAAAAAATGGAGTAGCCTCATATCCATATTCAGCAGTAAGACATATAAAGATTCCAGAAGGATAACTGTTTATTCATATAATGTCCCTAAACAGGGCACTTTCTGCATCATTCAACGTACTGACCCACTTCTATTTAACAACAGGTACAAAAGATCAGCAAAACAAGTTACGGGATAATAAAAAGACTAAATTTAGTTATTTCAGACACTGAAGCAGAAGATCCTTTTTTCCATCACATTACACATAAAAGAAAATTTTAAGCTCCCCCTCCCCCCCCCCCCCAAAAAAAAAAAAACCCACAAAAAAGAAAAGCCAAAGCATAAAAAATAAATAAACATTTTTTTGGCTTATAAGACATGTAGTAGAGCCTATTTTTTCTTTCACATTTTTCAACCAAAATGTCCCTGTCAGAAATTATAAAATTCCTATTCCTATGTTCTTTTTCATCAAATTGGCAACTATTCAACTATTATGTACTCTTTTACCAACCAATTGTTACTCATATGAAACTTAATAAGGTAAATAAAAATACACTATATTTTTTAAAAGAGATTATAAAGTTCATGAGCTTACAAACCTCAACTACTTACAAGAATTTCTTTAGGAAAAAGCCAAAGAAAACATGGCCACAACTCCTGCTACCACACTTCAATAGCAATGGCAGTTTCAAGGAGTTACTAAGATCCTATAAAAAACTCTTTTTTGTGAATGTTCATGAAGAATTCTGTTCCAACAAGCCACACTTTGCATAATACCAGCAAGATGAAACTTAATAAATCTTTATTGCTACTATCTGCCATATAATTTAACTAAAAATAAAATATATTATCATTATACATCAAATCTTGCAACAACAAAAAATGATCCACGTGAAATTATCAGTAAATGCCATCAATTTTACTCTTGTTAATTTAAATAATCAACTTAAATATTGTGCACCAGATGCATATTAACAATCAGAAGAGAATAATGTAAATAGATAAAATGGCCTTGAGAATCTTTCTATCCTCTGCAATTACCCAAAACAAAATTAAATTTGTAATAAATATAAATTATTAGTATTCTACTGAAGTCTTTTTTCCAGAACGAAAGTTAACTCAGCAATGAAACATATTGCCTTTTTTGGTCAATTTCTATTCAAATTCAAAAGGATTTTAGTCTGTTATTTGTTACTAGAATAATATTTGCCTTCATTAACATCCCTTTTAATGGCCACTACTGCAGTTAACTAAATGAACTAGACAAATACACAGAGACTAGCAAATTTATTAGTTAACTTGTACACTATCTTCAACT